GTACTCATTTTTACGATAAAATGTCTTTATTAGCTTAACAATGGGTCTTACGATAAACTTTCCAAGTACAAATTCTATGAAATTACAGTTAAGAGAATCAAAATAAAGGGATTAATTTACAATCTTATTTTACATTTATTAAGTGAGTAGGTTCAATATGTCGGTAACTATTTCATGAAGACGCTAATGTCAGACATCTACTTTTAATAATTACCGTAAATATGACTCAAAAAGGCTCAAGGAAATATTAACGTTTTTTTTTGTATTATAATGAGCTCATTGTCCGCGAGATGACGCTGCAGAATTTTCGAGATTGAGCGTTATCTTGTGCTGAGCCAATGGGATATTCAAGCGGTCATTTAAAATAAGTTGACGCATTTCGGTGTTAGGCTAACGTTGAAAGTAAAACTAAATTTGACATTACCCATGGAAGTTAGACCTGCATGTCAAGAACATTTTGAAGAAATAAGGTGATAAAAATAAAATCTCGTTATTTATAAACTTCTTTTATGAAATTTTGATGTTACGCAGTTTTCCAAAACTTTTGTTCGTTGTTGTAAAACGTTTAGATTTACCGTAGACTGCATTACAAAGTATGAGTGACTGCTGACACAGTGACACTGAGAGCGATGTAACGCACTAACGGGCACTTATTTAAAATTAATTTGAAAATTTAAATCTCAGAATTAAGCCGTTACAGTTATATTTACAGTTTAATGAATTAATTGCATTAAAAGTTTGGTTTATGCTTTGAGTTTTAGTTTCAATTTTAAAAATTGTGACGTTGACAGGTCAGCTGAGTGATAGTGATATTTATAATAATAATTAATAATAAATATACTAAAGTCTCGAGGGTTGAGACCTTCAGATTATAACTTGTTTGTTTTTCACTAACTCAAACCGGAATTGACATATGTAAAATTCCGGCCTGAGTTAGTGAAAAGCAAACAAACAATCTAACACACCCAGTGTTTTTTTTTTCCTTTAATTTTAGTATTTTGGTGGAGGACACCTTGTCAGTGTACTAGTACTGCTGGTAAACCTAGATGTAGAAATCAATATCATTGCTTGTAATGTATAATCTATAAAGATATAGTGAGAGTGACTTTTCTATTATTTAGTGTTACAAGTGTTAATTAGAATGTATTGTTTTAGTAACTACAATAATTGGGACTACTTATGGTAGGTTAAGTAATAAAGGTATGTAAGTACAAGAGGTAAAACTGTAAAAGGTTAGTGAGTATGAAAAGAAAAAAAAGGATTACTTTTTATAAGAGTGTAAAGTAGAGGATTAGATAAAGAATTTGGTGCACTGTATTGGTTATAGAAATGATTAAAGAAATGTACAGAACACTGTAAATATATAAGTTAATGTTTTTAAAACGTAGACTGTGATAGTCTACGTTAGTTAAGCTCTGTGTTCTTCAGATTGGGCATATTGATTTTTATATAAATTTTACTGTATATTTTAATTGGGATTTAACTAAAATTTATTATGCATTATTTCAAAGAAGGGATTTTTTTTTATAAGTAGGGTTTCAATCCAGGGTAATAAGTTTATTGGTTTGTTGATGTTATTGTTTTTCACAAACTTTTAATAATTTTTTTGTGGAAACTGACGTATCTGAAACAGAACAAACAAGACAAGAGTTTTTGTTATTTATTAAGCCATTAATCAAAGACCCTATATGGTGTTCGAGAACACACAGGTGTATAATGGATATGAATATATTAGTGGTTGCATGAGGACACTAATCACAAAATACAAAATGAATGGAGATATCTTGACACAAAATGGCTGGTTGGGGATTCTATAGGTTTTACAACACAATGGAATCGATAGAATACATCATATCAGATGTTCCATCATAAAACAAATTTGAGGAAATAAAATAATGTTATTTACTTCTCACCATAGCACCAGGGACATTGCCGAGCATGAATGTATCGGCATCTTTGTCCTCGTCATTTACACGATACATGGAGCACCTGTTCGTTATTGAAGTCTATCTTGGAGCTCAACCCAGAATTTGATTTTTCTACAGTTAAAAATTCTTAGAAATACTATTATGCTCATTTTCAAACAAACTATCCTATATTTTGATCAGAGTGCCTGATAGGGATGAGTGTAATTGTGTTATCTTTGTTGTAAATCTTTCACACACACATACACATGTATGTGGAAGCTCATTAAATAACTTTCTAATTGATTTATCTGGACTGATAGTTGTTATGTAATGTGAGCATATGTTTCTTTAGCCAACATTACTATCAAAGCACCAGTGATTATTATACAAAGTTTTAAGAATCATATTCAACTACTGAGTTGATAGTTTAAAAGTCTACCTGTAAAGGTAATTGTTTTAGTTGAATTTTTAGAAACATGCTCAAAACTTCATACTGTAATTAGAAACTTACTAATAATTAGGCTACTAACTAAGACTGTGATTATACTACAGGACTTTCGTTGTAAAGCCCTATTAAGAATAGATAAATCATATTTCCAAAGTTCATATTCAAAATGTTCACTGATTTTGTTTCTTTATTTCAGGCCATCGTACAATTATCAAACGTAAATTGAAGTAATATTTCTTTCCACTTTGGCTTTGTGTGATCATTTCAAGATGAGTGATTGTATTCACGTGGCGATCAGAGTACGTCCTCTCATACAACGGTAAAGTTTTCATTTTTATAGAGTGGTAAATTAACATGCTTGCCTTCACATTTATTATTGCAGTTTTGATTATTGATTATAATTTGCTTCTAATAATGGCTGTCATTGTACTATTCTATTCTCTCTCTCTCATTATTCCTTCATCTGGTTTCATGACTTCAAATGTTACTCTTCAGAATATAGTTTTACTGAGAATCTATAACAAATACTGTTTTTTTACAAAACCTACTTAATCTAAATTAAGTACCTATTGTTACGTCTCTGGTTGTTAGGTAATTTTCCGTAAAAATTGTTTTTGAAGAAACTTTAGCGATACAAGTCCTTACTTAAATAAAACTGGTTTATTCTTTGTGAATACAACTTTGCAATGCACTTAATTTCCACAGTAGCGCTATAACAAACGCTATAATTCACAACGAACGTCTCACGTGCTCAACTCAACTGTCCGTATCTATCTCTGTCTGCAGTTCAATTACACATTGTTGCCGTCACTTACAAGAATACTGCATATCTAGTAACCTCTCGAGGCTTCAGGGAGGGATGTGAACATTCGAGAATATGACGTGTTACTAGCACCACGTGACCCCCACTGTCGTAACAGTATGTTTTCCAAATGTACAAACATATAGTACAGTCCATGTAAAAATTACGTACAATAAAAATGCTCAAAATAAATAAAATTAGTCAATATACTTTCCTTTTTAAATTGAAATCTTATTCTAATTATACTTTCTCTTATTATTATAGAAATGGAATTTATTTATTCTACTTTTCTTACTTGCTTTTTTGTCTTTCCTGTAATGAAGCTATCTCGAATGGAGAAAAACAACCGAGAACAAGATTAGAAATGGAAAAGTTATAATGACAGAATTGCTATCTGCTGTCTGTGTGTCCATCTTTCAACCAGACTAGTTGTTCATCCTCTGTTTGATAACTTGACAGCCCCCTTGTACCTCCTGTACTATTTTATTTATCTCTACCATATTTCTGAAGCACCCTGGGGTGTGTTATAAGGGTTTGACATTCAGAACTAGTCCCGTATGTCATACCTGAGATCCCCTACGTTTATCTATTATTTATAAAATGTAACAGAAATTTGTTTAAGAATTTACTTGAACATTTTTTTATTGTTTATTTCTGTTTGTTCACAGAGAGAACCGAGAAAATTCAAACATTCAGTGGGATGTAAAGAATAAAAATGCCATATTCCAAATAGATAAAGATGGAAACTGTGTACAGAATGTACACTATGTATTCGGTAAGGCAAAGTTAATACATTTTTTACTAGTTTGAAGGCTTCCCTCCTGATTTCATTTCTAGTTTTTTTTTCATCATTGTTGAAGCACAGAAGAGCTTAAGTTTAGGTGGCAGTTTGAAATTTTGTAGCTAGTTATTGAAGTTAATTGTAAAATGTACTTATTTTTTGTTATTTCTAGAGACTAAGTCTCAGTCCCTTAGGTTACATCAGAGTAGGTAACTTTAAAGAATAATGTACATGTGAAAATTAGGTACAAGAAGTTATTAGTTTAAGGATGTAGATTTGAAAGTTAATACCCCGAGGAAGTGGGAATGAGTTAAATGAAAAGTTTATTTACGACTTCCAATTTTGGAAATATATATGAACAATTTATTAAGTTTAAAAATTATACAGATATATATATTTTAATTTATCCTTTACACTGTTAATATTCTGTTCTTAAAAGTATAACTCTTTTTCACTGCACGTTCATGAAACAGATTTTGACAACTTTTCAGCTCTTTAATGGTGGTGGGTGATGTTGAGTAGATACTTTCCCTCCCGTCTATCACTTAGGGATGCAAATAGATCTACAATAGCTTTGTGTGAAATTCAACAAACATCACACCATCTTTTAGCACAAGGTTGATCTTGTTACAACTTTCCTGAACATCTTACAGTCTGTATTAACGTTACAACTTTCCTGAACATCTTACTGTCTGTATTAATGTTACAACTTTCCTGAACATCTTACAGTCTGTATTAACGTTACAACTTTACTGAACATCTTACAGTCTGTATTAACGTTACAACTTTACTGAACATCTTACAGTCTGTATTAACGTTACAACTTTACTGAACATCTTACAGTCTGTATTAATGTTACAACTTTACTGAACATCTTACAGTTTGTATTAATGTTACAACTTTACTGAACATCTTACAGTTTGTATTAACGTTACAACTTTCCTGAACATCTTACAGTTTGTATTAATGTTACAACTTTACTGAACATCTTACAGTCTGTATTAATGTTACAACTTTCTTGAACATCTTACAGTTTGTATTAACGTTACAACTTTACTGAACATCTTACAATTTGTATTAATATGTTTGAGCGTGGCTTACAAAAACACCATTTATTTTAATTATCTCGCAGGATAGATCCATCAGTCTTGCACTAAAAGGAAAATCTAATGATCGTACTTATAAACAAACAAACAACACATTTGTGAAATATCACATTAAAGTGTCTTTGCAATTAAAGAGAAATGTAGTTTTCACAGATGGAGAGCTGGAAAACCATGGTTTAATAGAGTATTAAGAAAGAAAAGACAGCGTTAAAATGGATTTTACAAATAGAAGTTTTTAATAAAAATATGTTCACCCTAAATATTACTTTAAATGTTTTTGTGTTAATGAAATATAATATTTTGTGAAAGAAACCTTGTATAGATTGTGGGTGTAAAACTCGAGCTTTAATTTCGACTTTAGCATGTCCAAACATTTATCATTCAAAATATTACTTTTTATAGGTTTTTTTTTTTTACTTTGACTTCCGTATAAAAACATTTATTTTGAAATTAAACCGTGTCACAGCGTACATAAGATATGTCTTATTTTAAATTAGCCATTCATGGTTTTCATATGTATTATTGAAAAACTTGTTGTTTCCAGATCGGGTTTTTCATATGAATGAAACCAACATGGATATATTTCAGGAAATCTGTTCTCCAATTATAGAGTCTGTCATGCAAGGATTTAATGGTGAGTGTAGCCTGTAAGCTGTCAGATTGTGGCAAAGAAATCTGTTTTTCAGTTATAGTGTGTTGTGTCAGGATTTAATGATGAGTA